TATTCGCCAAACACCAGACAACTTTGCACCGACCTACTCTAGGGGGTGCTCGCCTAGTGTTCGGGAGGCCAAATTCGTGAATGTGTGACAGGGGCTTTATGCAACACAAGGAATCGACCCACCAAACCTAGGTGCGTGTGACGTAAGGAATAGGCCATAAGTTACCGAAAGGAGTAAAGGTGGTAATCTACATCAACCCACGCTGACACCAGCTGCAGACTCCCGGGCATAGTTGACCCACTCCCTACGTCACACGTTAATTTCGTCTGCTGGATACACGTAACGAGGGCATCAACCCCAAGTACGTATCGTACCAACACAGGTCAACTAATGTCGACGCTTCTAGGACACACAAATAGGTGTGGAATCAGTTTAAGTGGAAAATAGGGAGCCTTTTATCCAAGGACTCGCTTATCCAAATAGAAGTAGATTATAGCGAATACCTGTCACTTTGGGAAGTTTCGATGTACTAAAGCCTTCACTTGTAGTAAAACAATCTTTTTAGTCCAAGAAGAAACTTTATTCCCACAGGTTCGTCTGACGTTCGGAAGTACTCTGACCAGATTTAGGCCACCAGATATACATTTCTGTACGAATCGAAACGAATTCGGGTGAAATTTGAGTCAAATTTTCAAAGTCAAAGTTAATGTTGTAAGTTGAATCCTATTCCATAGAATCCTATTCCATAGAATACTGATATCAGTGAAACAAAAATACGGGGTTAAATTTGAGTCAAATTCTAAAAGTCAAAGTTAATGTTGTAAGTTAAATCCTATTCCATAGAATCCTATTCCATAGAATACTGATATCAGTGAAACAAAAATACGGGGTTAAATTTGAGTCAAATTTTCAAAGTCAAAGTTAATGTTGTAAGTTAAATCCTATTCCATAGAATCCTATTCCATAGAATACTGATATCAGTGAAACAAAAATACGGGGTTAAATTTGAGTCAAATTTTCAAAGTCAAAGTTAATGTTGTAAGTTGAATCCTATTCCATAGAATCCTATTCTATAGAATGCTGATATCAGTCAAACAAAAGTACGGGGTTAAGTTTGAGTCAAATTTAACCCCCGAACACCGTTGACGTACTCCGGATTGGTTGGCTAATGTTCTGCTGACTTACAGCCAAACACCAGCCAACCATGGTTGAACCTCCCGACCAATCCCCGAACGTTTTGAACATTTTGAAACATTCGGCTGGCGCAGCCGAAAAATAGTAACCAAATTCGCTGAACACCAGCTGACTTAACATCGACCTACTTACCAATGACTAATAAACTGGTGGACTTTCCAACTATTAAGTACCTAATACCAGCCCAGAAGAGAACAAGAAATAGCCATGCCTTCAAGTACCAGAGTTATCAACCAAGGATTGAGGTGTTCAAGAATTCATTCTTTCCTAGAACGATCGCAGAGTGGAATTCGCTGTCACCAAGTACAGTAGGGGCATTGTCATTAGATAGCTTTAAACAATGTCTAGAGTTAGATATTCAAGGGTTAGATGTAACAAGTCGATGGGTGTAATGTAGCCAGCTGCCACCGCAGCTGGTGTGTTACGCCAAAGAGCGGTTATACCGGCTATACAGATACAGAAGCTGGTGTGTTACACCAAAGAGCGGTTATACCGGCTATACAGATACAGAAGCTGGTGTGTTGCAGATACAGATCCATGGTTGGGGGCAGTGTTCAGCTAGTGTTCCGGAGGCGAAATTCGTGAATGAGTGACAGAACGCAGGAATACATTGCTAATAACTGAAAAGTAATAATGAAAAGCTGCGCATGTAAGAAGACAGGCAGATTGGGGGCATGGAGTTATTATTACGTTGAACGTGATTGATCAGAACGTGAACTCATTCTGTCAGTCACATATTAGTGCTTAACGGAGGTTATACGCATGATCTATGGGAATGGACGTGGGCACGCCTACATCGTGGGCCTTTAAGCACTAGAAATGACAATCAAGCCGTTTAGGAAAATATCACTATGAATAAATACTGATTTTTTTCACGCTACAGAAATGTACCAACTGGATGTACCAACTAATAAGTACTTTATACCAGCTCAGAAAAGAACAAGAAATAGTCATGCTTTCAAATGTTTCACAGTTACGACCAACCAAGGATTGAGGTTGTTGAAAAATATTTTTTCCTGGAACTATTGTAGAGTGCCATCAAGTAAATGATCACTAGATAGCTTTAAACGATGTTTAGAGTTAGATATCTAAAATCTATGTTTTATAGCCAGCTGCCGCCGCGCCGCGTGCCTGCGAAGCTGGTGTATTACGCCGACGGACGTTTATACCGACTACACAGATACAGATGTCTTTGGAGGACCACCCATAAATGGCTAGAACCAGCCTACGATACAAAAGAAGCAAACGTTTTTCGTCAGTTTCGCCATTTTTGCCTCACAGGTATCAGTACACTACGGGAAAGGGTTGATTCAACTTACAATATTAAAAGAATGACCCGAAAATTAACTTTGAAATTCCAGTTGCATAAAAAACCCAAAAGTTGCATTGACAATTTTAAGCAATCCCTGTCCCATTGATTTGGCCACCAGAGTCCAGTCTTCTAAGTTGGCTGTGAACAATAACAATACCTATTTCCGTGGAAAAATATTGAACAATTGCATAAGGCTTCCATGCATACACACCACCCCAGTCAATTTCTCTTAACTAAAGAGCTAGAGCTCTTGTTCTTCACAAATTAAGCATCTATTTGCGTTTGCAAAAAGTACTGACGCAGAGGAGTTTGGCGTCCAGCAGAGCAGAAACCATCGACATTTTCCGGGCTGGTACCTTTTAACTCTGTCTCGTTGCACAAGCGATTTACTCAAGCAAGTTTTATGACACTGATTTTTCCTCATTGCGCACACTGAACCAGAAGCTCTGTAGTATTTGTAACGATAAATTCTAAGAATGCACCCAATAAACGCATAAAAACATTAAAACGCCATTCTCCCCCATTCGCCACCGCCATTATAAGTTCGCTGTCCGTATTGTGGGAGTTTTATTTGATATGGAATCGAACGACACACGCGATTTTCTTACAAAATGTGTGCACGCTGTTGCCACAGATTGTCGCCATATTTAACGATTATCCCATTCCCCCAGTTAGCCCTTATCAATCCTCTGTATGCATGGGGGGAATCCATCTTCCACCCTAATGCACAAGACGCATAAATCTCGCTTACTTTTTGTCACAGTGAGACCGTAAAGAGAGATTTGAACATCAACACACGCTTGTAAACGTGCCGCGAATCCAGCCGTATTACGGTTTCAACAGAAACACGGTTGGGAGAAAAGATTTCGTCTATAAGGCCACAGCAATAAAATTTTATGAATGCCATTCTTCTTAGACAAATTTAAAATGATAGAGCAAAAAAAAAATAACATGGTGGGCCGAATATTATTACAATATTTCTACATTTTAAACGTTTGCGATTATATTTTTAAAACAAGAATTGCGGCGAAAAAAATATGATCCCAAAAAACAACAGGTCTTTATTCTTGTATTTAATTAAAAGTATCACCTGTCCCTGTAGATGTGTATACATCTCAATTAACAATTGTAGAAAAGATTATCCATACGCTATAGAACACCTTAGACTGTCAACACTTGTCATCAAACGCGAGAAATTGTGTAGAAACAGATAGAGGTCTACAACATTTTGTCCGTTTTTGGCATGTTGCTCACCGTTGGTTGCCAACAAAGTTTTTTAAAAATCAGGCGAAAATCAATGCGCGCGCTGATGGCATCAATAAAAATTACTTGCTGTGGCCTAATGTGTCAAAATAATCCCCAGGACTACGATACTCAGAAAACTAACGTTACGTATTCGCTAATAAGTAGAAGGTAATGAGCCTGTGCGAACTATAAACGCGTTAGATAACAGGATTTGGCGGCTACAGAAGCCATCCATAACAGTAAGCCCATAGACGCCGCGCGAAATCACAGGCATTTTTATTGTCGGGAAAATCGACGCTTGGTGTTACTCTTGGATGTAAAAATTCGACTTGACGTGATTTACTCCGTGTCCCTACCGTGTACTGGGTACTGTGTGAATACTAAGATGGGAACCAGTATTGTGTTGCTGTATAGCTATTTTAAAGGGTCTCTGTAGAGAAAAAAAAAACAATTTGGATGAATTCTGATTTTTTATAAATTCTGATGTAATGATTTTTTTCTTTTTGAATTTTATGGAGTGAAAAATATGATTTTTATGAATTCTGAATTTTTGTGAATTTAGATTTTTAATGAAGTTTTAAGAATACTTATTCCTCAGATGGAGGAATTTTCTGGACTACCAGACTGCCCCTACTGATTGAGTAAGTGTGTAAGAGATTGTGTGGTAATGTCACTATCTCCCAAAGTAGCAAATTAGTCCGATATGTTTCACCTATGTTTATGTACATTATGGTAGTTTATGGTGGCACTTTGTTTGGGCTGTTTTAGCGTCAACCATAAATACCAGAAATACGGAATAACTGCACAACTTTGTTGAAAAGTTGAAGTAAATTAAAATCACAAGATGTAAAACATTAAAATTTTCAATGCAAAAATGTTACATACTGACTAATAATTTTAATTTTTTGTACCTATAAAGCAATGAAGCAATGTCAGCTTTCAGCATTAGCAGCCGGACAGCCTAGACATGATGCTGTCAGAGTAATTAGCTAATTAGCTAATGTCTTGACCTTATTGTAGATCCCACAGATCAGCTTCGCGTCCACTAGTGCTGAGTTGAGTGTTTTTTTTTTTGGGGGGGGGGCAAAATCATCGGTTTCACTACTTCTCCCGGGTGGTTATTATTATCATCATTATTATTGAGCTAAAATATCTTCTGACCTTCTTGTAGATCCCACAGATCAGCTACGCGTCTATCAGTGCTGATTTGAGTGTTTCTTTTTTTTTTTTGGGAGGGGGGCAAAAACATAGGTTATCGTTATTACTATTATTATCATTATTGAGCTAAAATATCTCGACTTTGTTGTAGATCCCACAGATCAGCTACGCGTCCACCAGTGCTGAGTTGAGTGACAAGTCCCGGTTTGACTACTTCTCCCGCGTGGTCCCCCCGGACACGTACCAGGCGCAGGCCATGGTGGACCTGGCGAAGGAGCTGGGCTGGACCTACGTCTCCACCGTGGCTTCTGAAGGGAACTACGGAGAAAACGGCGTAGAGACCTTCGCGGCACGGGCAAGGCAAAATGGTAGGCACCATGTGGACTTTAAGACTTACATAATGTTAGGCCACACCAATTTAATTTCTTGGTTAACGGATTCGCCCGCTTAATTTTTTTTTCTCATTTGAAAAGAATCAACTGCTTATATTTTGCCCGGAACAGTTGAAAACAGCCCTTTTCGTACTAGTTGTTACAGTTATTCTATCTTTCAATGCAATGGTATCATTAAATGTTCTAAATTCATTATTACCTTCGCCAAGAAGGTTATGTTTTCAGGGGCGTTCGTGTATGTGTGTGTGTGTGTGTGTGTCTGTCTGTCTGTCAACACGATAACTTGAGAAGGTCTTGATGTATTGTCTTGATACTTGGTAGGTGGGTAGGTCTTGATGAGACCTCAAAATGATTAGATTTTGGGCCACCTGGCGGCTTCTCATGGTACTGCAGCAGAACTTCCGGTTTTGATATCTCATGATCCAGACATGCTAGGGTGACGAAATTTGGATGGTAGATAGCTCTTGTGCTGGGGATAAAGTGACATGAGTTTGAGCCCCCTAGTTACTTGCTCTAGAACTGCAGGGGGGGTTAATGGACAAATGTTTAAAGGGGGATAACTCAAGAACCGATTGATGGATCATCGTGATTTTTGGTATGTAGGTAGCTTGAGTGATGCTTGACATAATGATATTACAATTATGCAAATATGGATGTAATTGCATATATGAGAAATTCTATTATCAGCTGCATTCCATAATAGGGAAGTTCAAGCTTGTGACATATGGTTCCGGGTCGGAGTTTAATTCTGACCAGAGTCTAAGTAAGTGCGCAGTAAATCGCCGGAAACGTGACTTTGTATGGTATGTTTTGGCCGCGATATCCCTGAAATCGTAATATCTGTGTACATATCTTTGTATTTTCTGAAAAGCCTGTTAGTTGTAGCCTTTATAGGTGGCGTAATGTTGGTGGTCCAGCTAAGACTTCCTGGTATTCGTCCGCGCGGATGGTTATGTGGCCTTTTCGCCTGACCGCCGGGATGGTACGTTCTATATGCGTTCTGGGTGTGTTCGGGCCATCGAAGATAGCGATAAACTTATCGCATCGATTTTAATTAAATTCAAATTTTGGAAACATTAGGTTCTGAGCTTCTTCGAGTACTAAGCCGTTACCCTGGGAAAATTCGTTTTTTCCATGCAGCCATGGTTAAAAATGACGAAAAAAATGACCCCTTTTTTCAAAATGTACTTTGATGTGCCTCATTTACCCCTAAATAAATTGGGCGCAGAAAATATCAATCAAGTGTATTGATACGCGGCACGGCACCCCTTTCCACCAAAAGAGTGAAAAATTCCGACCCGCGTTTAGTACAGAAATGACAGCCCGTCGGGCTGAGGGTGTCAAATTGCTCGAAATACGGAGGGAAACTCCGGTCCGAGACCTTAAGAAGACGGCGCATGCGCAGAAAATGACGTCATCGATGACTTAATTTCGATTGATTTTAATGTTTCCAGCCGAAGCTGTCAGAATCTGCGAAAAAACCGCACCATTGTACTGTTTTGGGGTCCAAAAGTCCGGATACACATGTCGGGTCCTAGGCGCCCCCCCTCCCCCTTTGTCCGCCCCCCCCCCCCCCGACTCTCCGTGAAGGGCAGTTTTAATCGTTTCTGGACGATAAAATGTTCTCAAATGAATTCACTTTCTATGTTATTTCATGTGAGTCGACCTCTAAATTTGACTTCCGCATAATTTCGGCCAAGTCTTTCCATTTATGGTGACTTAACTGACATTTTACAGGAAAATTCGATTGTTTTAGGCCTATTTAAGGCAAAACTAGGTTTTCTGATTTTCGGTTCAGGGCTCCTTAAAATCGCGAACTTCTTTTCGTTGGCTGGTGTTAAGTGGTAGCCTAATAAGTACTTCACGCAACCTTGCAGCAATTTTTTCAACTAATCGCTCCTAGCCACGGCAGCATCACCCAGATTGTGTTTTGCGCCTCGTAAGAACGCAGTTTTTCACACATTTAAGGTGCGCTGTGCTACTTAATAGGCCATTCACGGCAAAGTAGTGAAGAGTTTGGTGTCGGACTCGTTTCATTCGGAAAGTGCGAGCTCAGTTCTATCACTCAAGGTCAAAATCTGACGTATTCTTC